TTTGGACTAGATGACCCAGGTCCCTTCCATATCTACGTCTATGATCCTATGATTACTGGGCAAAAATCTTTGTAGTAAGTAAAAATATAATACATATATAATATAATATATAAATAAGTATAGAATAAAAATTAAACAATACAAATCTAACATCGATAATGCACATAATCTATATGTAGCTGACACAAATTTACAGTGGATAAATGGCCAAATAATACAGTTTTTAGAGTAGGAAATATAAGTTGTCTATAATTATTTGAAAAATTGTTATGTTATAATTAGAAATCCAAAGTTAAACAATTTTGAAGAATCATCTTAAAACTGCAAAATTGTTAATACTTAAGAATAATAAAATGCAGTGTTGGAGAAACTGTAAAGAAATGGATAATCTAATATATTGGTGGAATTATAATAATTTATGATATTTGGTGGTATTACCATTTTTTAGGATGACAATATGGAAATATACAAGAATTGCAAAACTGATAAGCCCTTCCATATTTATTATAACTCCCTGTTTCTACTAGGACTGTATTCTAAGGGAGTTATGCAAAAGAATGTATCTGAACAAAAATATTTATAGCTGCTTCATTTGCAGTAGTGGAAATTGGGAAATAGACTGTATAGCCAATTTTTAGGAATTGACAAAATAAACTGTTATGTTAATGTAATATTATTATTCCACAAAATGGCAAATATGTAAAATAGATGTTAATGTAGAAAGGGTTATATAAAATGATACATCATAAAAGAAGTAGAGTTAAAAAGACTAATGTTCACTCACCATGATTGTATAAAAATGACAGCAAGAAAATTATTTTTATAAGTTCTCATAGACAAGAGATTAGAAAGGGATAGAGAACAAATAAATTATTATTTTGTTTTTTCTTTGATGAAGATGTAAATAGTTTGGGTTTTATTTGATATCTTATTTGATTTTTATTTAATCATATTTGGTGAGATTTCTTAAGCTTGTAATATAAAGATGAAACAAATGCAATTTTAGTTTGATATGCTAGACTGTAAGATCAGAGAGGGCAGATTAATTCTATCCTGTATCTTACAGATACCTAATGTTGTAGACAGCATAGTGAATGCTAATTAAATGAATAAAGAAAGTGTGTGTACTAGCAAGAGCATTAAATTGTGAGTAAGAAGACCTGATTTCCCAGTATGGCTTGGCCATTTACTAGTCATATAACCATTGGCTCGTGACTTAACATCTCCGTGTTTTAGTTTCCTTATCTCTAAGACAAGGTAGCAATACTGACTCAAACCATCTCATAAAGTTGTGAGGATCAAATAAGATTATTATCATTAACAACAATAATAGACATTTATGTAGTGCCTACTATATGCCAGGTACTGCGCTAAGCACTTTACAAATATCTCATTTAAAATGGGAAGCAGGTGCTATTATTTTCCACGGTTTACAGATGAGGAAACTAAGCCCATAGAGGTTAAATGACTTGCCCAAGATTACAGAGGGTAGTAAGTGTATGAGGTAGGATTTGAACTCAGATCTTGTAGGCCTGGAACTCTGTTCACTGAGCCACCTAACTGTATGAAGTTGTTTTAGAAACTGTAAAACATTATAGATTTGTAAGACAGTAGTTAATAATAATAATTAATAATATATTATAGGTTAATACACATTATATATTAATCTATATAATAGATTAATATAGATTAATAAACTATTATCATGTAAAGACCATAGACTCTTAGCATTTTAGAACTGGTTTAGCCCCAAACCTTCTCTTGACAGATGCAGAAACAAATTCAGAGAAATTAAGTGACTCTGCTCTGATTTATTAATTAGATAATAAATTATACTTTGCATATAAATGTTTGTAAGTGGATGCTTCAAATTGCTCTCTATAATAATGTGCTAAACATTTCTTGGCAATCTTTTTATATTAGTAATTTATCAAGCTTTTAAAAATATTTTTTCTTTATTAGTCCCCCCTCTTCCCTGTCACATTCATTTCTCAAAATCTGGCAGTGGGTTGAGGCGTGAGGGTGGTGCAGGCTGGGGGTGGGAGATGGAGACACCAAAGCAAAGAAAACCAGTTAAGAACCCCAACCAATCACGCCATTTCATCGATCATTGACTTTGTTGATCCTTTGTCCTCAGTTCTCTAAAACCAGGATGGTTCACCTTAATTAATCTGAATTTGTCTGCCCTTTAGTGCCATTTTCATTTACATTTTTAAGCCACTCCACATATTCTCTTTCTTGGTTCCTCTTTCTTCATTTTGTTCATACAAATATTCTTAGGATTTTTTCCATATGAATTCCTCATATATCAATAACATTCCATTATATTTATATACCACATTTTATTCAGCTGTTCCTTAGTCAAAACACCCATTTTGCTGCTTTTTTCTGCCTCAAACTGTACTGCTGTGCATGTTTTAGTGTGTGTGAGACCTTTGTTTTTGTCAGTAACCCTCTGGGATACATACCCACTAAGGCGATGTCAGGTTTTTTTCATAGTGTAGTTAAAACTAGTTTTGGATTAGTAGGATCCTAATTAAGAAGGTTGTATTTATTTTTACTGATGGGGAGTGTTGCATGTCCATCAGAGAGGTCTCCTTTGAACTTTACAAAGCTGTACATAGACATGTTTTTTACAGTGGCAATATTTCATTCTAAAATAGCACCTTAGACCATTTTGTGAAGATGATGAATTCTTTTTCTTCTGCCTAGCTGTGGAAAAGGAACAGTTTTGATTTGCTTACCTGCCACTTTCTAAAAAGAGGGGGAAAGAAGCTTAGAAGATGGGAAAAGCACAGAAGAAAAAAATACTTCGAGGGGAAAGTAAGGTTAGGACAAGCTGTGAAACCTAATCATTTTTCCCAAGAATATCATTAGGTGGCTTGGGCTGGGGACTTAGTGGGTGGTATTGGCTCTCAGAAGTCCCACTCTTTTGATCTGGACTTTGAAAATCTGCCGGGTATACCCTGAAGTTGCCTGATTCTTCTGGAACTTTCTCTGAAGATGGGGTGCTGATGCACGTGGTCAGAAAGTTTGTCTCTGACTCAGCCATTAATGACTGCAGCTAATTCAAAGCAGACCCTGAATGGTTTCTTGTATTTCTTTGTATATTACATCAGAATTCTTAACTCCTCCAGTTGTTCCAAGATGATTGTTTTCATTTCTTCTCTGCTACTGTGGTCTGTAGCATCTGCTTACTGTAGTATTTACCCCTATTTTTTCTTGTATGTTTTGGAAAGGAGAATGACATAGTGGTTAGAGGGCATGGGGCTGGGAATTTAAAATTCCAGTATATGTTGTTGGTGCTTTTCTATTTCCCATGAGACCTGAAAGGAAGAATTATCTTAAACCCATAATTTTCAAACTTTTTCAACCTGCAATTCTTCCTCTTTGAATCTATTCAGTTCCACTCATCCTTGTTTTACACCCCCCCACACACATCCGTATAATACTTAAGTATTTTATTGATCTTGTCAGATTTCCCTCTTTTCTGGACAGTAGATTGACTAAATCTCTATAACCTTCTTGGAATTATCCTAATTATCCTAAACCCAAGAGTTGCACTCCTGCTTTGGAGAACAATTGTTTGTGCCTTAGTTTTCTCTATCTGTAAAATGATTAGTTTTAGTATACATGGGTCAGATGGGTCATTCTATGCACAATTAATGTGATAGAGAAGAGAGGCTGAGAGCGGTCAAGGTAGAGAGGTAATTGTGATTGTGAACTTTTCTGGCAATGCAGATCAGGCTGGGTATGATTGAGCAGATGACTTGAGGGAGCATTGGAAAAGAGTAAAAGACTGTTGTCTCAGAAAGAAGTAAAATGAGAGCCTGGTTGACTCTGATTCTGATATGAATATGTTATAGAAATGGCAGTATCAAGCAGAGTAAAAATCTTATAAATTTGAACAGAGAAACATTGAAACTCATGATAATTTTACCAAGCTAGCCTAAAGTTCCTTTTCTGCAATAATCAAAGAATTGGGTAAGCAAATCAGTAAAGTAGATAAAGTAGCAAGGGCTACTTGCTCATGACCTTTGTAACTATGGACAAGTCATTTCATCCCTATGAACTTCACTTTCCCTTTCTATAAAATGATGTGGTAGTGCCAGACAATTGTTAAGATCTCTTTTGGCTTTCTGATTCTGAGAATCTCTTCATTTATGTGGTTCATATATATCTTGGGTACCTAAAATGAGGAGAGAAAGTAGTTCAGTAAATTGAATAATCATGAATATTAACTTTGATTTATCTCCACATGTATTCTAGTTCTCTATAATATTTTCTGACAATAGTATAAAGAGATATATTAACATTTCATTAACTTCACTGAGTCAAGATGTGATATTGTTTACATAAAACAATCATAGTGCTTATGGTACAAAAACACTTCCAGGTAGATTTGGGGTTGCTGAAAATTTTATGGAATGGTAAGTTTTGAAATAATTATTTAAAACAACTTTTATATATTTTTCCAATTACATGTAAAAATAATTGTAAAAATTCATTTTTAAAAAAGTTAGAGTTCCAAATTCTTTCCCACTGTCCCTTGAGAAGGCAAGCAATTTGATATGAATTACAGTGTTGTCTTGCAAAACACATATTTGTATTAGCCATGTTGAGAGAGAAAACATGTCAAAGAAAAAGAAGGTAAAAAAAAGTATACTTTGATCTACATTGAGACTCCATCAGTTCTTTCTCTGGAAGAGGATAGCGTTTTTCATTTTAAGTCCTTTGGAATTGTTTTGAATCATTGTATTGATGAGAATAGCTAAGTCATTCACAGTTGATCATTGTACAATACTGCTGTTACTGTATACAGTGTTCGGGTTCTGCTCACTTCACTTTTCATTAGTTCATCTAAGTCTTCCCATGGTTTTCCTGAAATTATCCTGCTTATTTAAAAGTCTTTAATACATTTTGTAAATATATATCCTTGCATAAGCAAATTCTGTATCATCATTATAATATTTCTAAAAATGAAATTTTTTTCTTTTCAGTATTACTTCACTGTTCTCTTTGGCCATGAAGGTCAGAAGCCACTAGAGCTCCGATGTGAAGAGGAACATGAGGGTAAGGAGTGGATGGATGCCATTCATCAAGCCAGGTATAATCCTCTCTTTGCTTCTTTTGGAATTAATTTGAAAAAATCATTATATAATTTGTTTGAATGTTACCATTACTGATAGAAGGATCTTAATATCAATTTTAAGAATTTGTTTGCAATTAAATATCCATCACCTTGTCAGGTGTGTTATGATTGGTTGGTCTTACTGTAATTATGTCCTTGCCTGAAAGTATCCAATAAGATTGGTCATTGAGCTATTCTAGAAAAACACAAAAGAATGGTCAACTTCCTTCCAAGAGACACTAGGAAAGTGGAAAAGTAGTAAGTTAGGCCATAGTCATCTATTCAAGTAAAATACACGTAGATAGAAGTGTCCTTCTCTTATATCTAATCAATCACCAAGTCCTTCCAAATGGCTATCATGTCTATTTTTTGCTCCTCTAGTTCTACTGCCACCAGTCTAGTTCAGGCTTTCGTTATTTCATTCTTGTTATTGCTACACAAAATTCCTACCTGATTTCACACTTGAAATTAATATTGCTGAACACTGTTGCCAGACTTACCTATAAGTAGCACAAAGAGAGTACGCTGCGATTATGTTTTGGCCATTGACATGAAATAATTATGTATGTATGGAGTCCAAGTTCATCTTCTTTCTAAAGGAGAAAGTGAAAAGGCTGGTGGAGTGCTTCTCTCTTCATAGAATCACAGAATTTAAGAGCTGGAAAGGACCTTAGTTTCCACATAGTCCAGCCTGTATTGTAATCCCCTGTACAGTCCATAAAGACCCCAGGGAAGGGACAGCATTATCTCCAAGGCAGCCCATTTCACTTTCGGGGAATTGAATTGGGAAGTTTTTCTTGACATGGAGCCTAACTTTAAATCTTTGCAGTTTCCACCTATTGTTCATTAGTTCTGGCCTCTGAGTGATCTTATCAGTTCCCACGGGTTCAATTATTTTTATGCTCATGATTCCCAAATCTGTACATTTAGTCCTGATCTCTCTCCTGAGCTACAATCTCACATCACCAGCTGCTTATTGGATATTTATCTACTATCTCAACCACAATGTGTCCAAAACAGAACTCATTAGTGCTTCTTTGGACATTTGTACCTAGGAGTTGAGATTCCATGCCGAAGCAGGAGCCAGTACCCTACTGGGTACCTTTCTACCCCCAACCAGCTGGAAATCTCTAATGGGAACCGCATGTTGGCTAACAGCAGCAGTGATTCACCCTCCAGCAGCAGACATGCCATCTGCAGTTACATTTCCTTCTTGCTTCCCCCAGGCAGCCGGTTAGGATTGCCCCCAGTGGCTACCATCGCAGCAAGAGTAACAGGGGTTCAACTCTTGGGCACACTCTTGGTTGTGCCATCACTGATGGCTTCCATAGGGAGACTCATTCCAATCTGATAAGTCCTTGTCAGGAGCCCTGGCGAATGCAACCAGAGTATCAGCAGCAGTTCAAGCCCCTGATGCTGGTAGATGAAGCATTTCTTAGAATGTGCCTCAAACCAGGGTGACCTCAAGCTGTATGAGCACTTCAGCAAGGTGTTCTAGTGGTGCAAGTTTGCAGATCTGTTGCTATTATTGTTCATTCAATCAGTCACTTCCAACTCTTTGTGATCCCGAGGACTAGCTGTCTGTGGGGTTTTCTTGCCTAGGTACTGGAGTGGTTTACCATTTCCTTCTCCAGTGGAGCCTTTTTTCAGGCAATCAGAGGTTAAGTGGCTTGACCAGGATCACACAGCTAGGAAGTGTTTGAGGCTGGATTTGAACTCTGGTTTTCCTGACTCCAGGCCCAGTGCTATCTCCACTGAGCCATGATCCACCTCAGTTTGCAAATTTGGAAATAAATGAGCCGGATTGAAACCTTCTAAAAAAGATACAGAAAACTAACTGAAGACCAATCTAATTTAACATGAAAACGTAATTGAGTCAGTCAGTCAACAAGCATATATTAAGAGCCTAAAGAAGTCTGAGATCACCAGTACGTTGTTTCTTTGTCTATTTGTTGCCAGTAGTCTTTCATTTCATACCTCCCTGAGAGGGAGGAGGGTAGTCCCATTGTGCAGAAAAGGGAGGTGATATAAAATGTCCGGATTAGGCAAAATGCTTTTGTGGTCTCATCAGAATGAATGGTTGTGATGCTAACTCTCAGTAAAAACAGCATCTGAAGTTATGGCTAATAAGTCAAATTATTTCCTCCTGGAAAAACAAGTAAACAAACAAATCAGAGCTCATTATCTTTCTCCCCAAACCCAACTGTTTTCTGAACTTCCTTATTACTGTCAAGGGCACTATATCCTCACAGCCACTTGGGTTTATAGCCTTGTTATTAGCCTTGCTTTTTGTTGTTCAGTTGTTTGAGTCCTGTCTGACTCTCCGTCACCCCATTTGGGTTTTTCTTGGCAAAGATACTTGAGTGGTTTGCCCTTTCCTTCTCCAGCTCATTTTGAAATGAGGAAACTGAGGCAGACAGGGTTAAGTGACTTGCCTGAGGTCACACAGCTATAAGTGTCTGGGGCCAGATTTGAACTCAGGTCCTCCTGACTAGGCCTGGTGCTTCATCCAATCAGCTGACAAATCTTCGTGATTTCTTCTTTCTCCCTCCACAACATCTGTTCTTCTGTTCCCCCACACAGATACCACCCTGCTTTCAGCCTTCCTTTCCTCTCACCTAGGGTATTTCAGTAGCCTTCTAATTGGTCTCCCCTGCATCAGTTCCCTCTCCATTCCATCCTACCCTCTGCACAGCTGCCAAAGTGTTTTTCCTAAAGTGCGGGCCTGACCATGTCAGACTCAAACACTGCATCCTCCGAGAGCTGCAAGGGCTTCCTATTACCTCCAGAAACAAATATAAAGACTTCTCTTGGACATTTAAAACCCTTTACCAACCTGGCCCTTTTCTATCTTTCCATTACTCCCCTCCACACATTCTACAGTCGAGCCAGAGGGCCCCCCCTTCTGCTCCTCACGAGAGATGTTCTGTCTTCTGTCTTTCTGCTTTTGTTGTACCTGTTCTTTATGCCTGGATCTTTCTATTCTTACCCTCACCTCTTCCTTCAAGACTTAGATGCCACCTTCTGCAGAAGGACTTTTCTTGTTCCCCCTTTCCCACATGCTGGTACTTTTTCCATGAAACCAAAGGTTCCTGATTTTTTTTGGAGTCATGGATCCTTTCAGTAAACCAGTAAATTCTTAAAATGCATAAAATGAAATACATAGGATTACAGAGGAAAACAATTAAATTGAATAAGCCAAGTTCACAGACCCCCAGGTTAAGAACCCCTGCTTTCAGGTTACCTTTTAATTTCTCTGTTGTGGATGCCTACTTAGAGACATGTTTTCTTCCCTCCTAGTACATAAGCTACTTGAAGACAGAGACAGTTTTTGGCTTATTTCTTTGTATTCTTAACAATTAGCACAGTGCCTGGTGCCGAGTAAGCACTTAATAAATGCTTGTTGATTGATTGATTCCCTGTGACAGCCTTTCAAGTACTTGAAGAGAACTATGATATCTCCCCTGAGCTTTCTCTTTTTCAGGCTAAATGTTCTAAATTCCTTCAACTGACTCTATTATGGCATGTACTCAAGGGCCTTCACCATGGTGGTTGCTTTCCATTGGAGACTCTCCAGCTTATAAGTATGTTTTCTAAAATGTGGTGCCCAGAACTGAACACAGTCCTCATGATCTGGTCTGACCAGGACAGATTATATCGGATCTACAACCTTCCCCTCTCCCACAGGAAGCTATGCTTTCCTTAATGTAGACCAAGATCTCATTAACTTTTGGTTACCATATTACCTTGATGAATTATATTCTAGAATATATTATTAAATGAATGGCTTATAATCATTTAGAAAATAAAGCCCGTGTGTGTATATGTGTGTGTGTGTGTGCGTGTGTGTGTGTGTGTGTGTGTGTGTGTGTGTGTGTGTGTGTGTGTGTGACCTTGATTTAGGTGAAGTGTTTGATTAAATATCTTAGACTGTCCTTATGCATAGATGTACATTGATGAGATGGCAGTGTAGTTTAGAGCATTTAGAATTGATTGAATGACCAGACCCAAAGAGTAGTACTTTAAGGGATCAATTTCAGTGTGAAGGGAGGTCTCTCTGGTGAGTCAGTGTCCTAGGCACAATTTTTGAGGAGGCTTTGTTTTTAATATTTCTATCAACAGCTTGCTTATCATCTTTGCAGATGACATGAAGTTGAGGGAAAGCTAGTGTGGTAGATGACAGTCAGGATCTCTATAGACTAGTATGATAGATTGATTCTAATAAGCTGAAATTTAATATAAATAAATATAAAGTCACATTTGGGTTAAAAAAAATCAACTGCAAAGGAACAGCATAGATAGCCAGATGATGGTTTATGTGAAAAAAGATCTGGGGAACTTAGGAGACTGTAAGTTCAGTGTGGCATGGCTGTCCCCCCTTCCTTTGCCCCCAATCTAATGAGAGCTTGGGTTGCATTCAGACAGGCATGGTGTCCCAGATTAGGGAGAGGGTAGTCCTGATGGCCTTTCCGATGGTCTTATCAGATCTAGATTATTGTGTTCAGTTCTGAATGCAATGTTCAAGGAAGGACATTGGACACTGGAGAGTGAATGTCCAGGGGGAGGTGATAGATTTTGAGGTCATGCAATAAGAGGATTGGCTGAATGACGTAAGGATGTTTAGCATAGAAGAGAAGAGGCTTGGGGAGGAAGAACTGATAATAGTCTTCAAGCATTTGGAGGATTGCCATGTATAAGAAAAATTAGACTTTTTTTAGCTCCCAGAGGCTAGGCTAGGAACACTGGGTAGAAGTTGCAGAGACAGAGTTTAGCTTGACAGAAGGGAAGATTTTAACCAATAGAACAGCCCAGAGGTAGAATGGGCCATGTCAACAAGTAGTGGGTTTCCACATCACTGGAAATTTTCAAGCACTTGTCAGATGATGATGTCAGACTTTGCTCTTGAGGTATATATGTGTTGTGCTAAGTGGCCTCCAACGTGTCTAATTGCCTCTAATTCCATGGTATTATAGAGT